GAAAATCATGATGTTAATGTTTATAATATCTTAATATCGTCATGTATTAGATTAGCGGATTAGAGCTACAATGAATGCAACTATAAGACGTTAAGACGCTTGTAGATGAAACACGTTAGACGACATGATGGTGAGCTCTGCATGGACAGACAGACAGCATCTTCATTATCTAGATACCTCGGACTCATTCAAGAGGAGCTTCTGTGTTTGTGTCTGTCATTTATCATGTGATTCACTTCTACTCTCTGAATCCTGCAGTGACATCTACAGTTCAGATGAGGAGAAGAGGCCTGAGTCTGCATACTGTACTGTACACTACCGCTCAACAGTTTGGAAGAATTCAGATTTGTTCGTGTTTGTGAAAGAAGTCTCTTCTGTTCACCGAGGCTGCATTTATTTGATCAAAAATCCAGTAAAAATGTGAAATATTATTAGTTTAAAATATCTGTTTTCTATGTGAATCTCTGTTAAACTGTACTGTATTTCTGTGATGCGCAGCTGTATTTTCAGCATCATTCCTCCAGTCTTCAGTGTCTCATGATCTTCAGAAATCAGTATAATATGCTGATCTGCTGCTCGAGAAACATTTCTGATTATTATCAATGTTGAAAACAGTCGTGCTGCACAATATTTCTGTGGAAACTGTGATACATTCTATTTTTCAGGATTCACAGATGAACAGAAAGTTCAAAAGAACAGCGTTTATTTGAAATAGAAATCCTTTGTAACATTATAAATGTCTTTACTGTAACTTTTGATCAATCTGATGCATCCTTGATAAATAAAACTATAAATTTCTCTAAAAAAATTAAATACTGACTCCAAACATTGGTAGTTTTGGTAGTGTATCACAGTTTCCACAAAATTATTGTGCAGCACGACTGTTTTCAACATTGATAATAATCAGAAATGTTTCTTGAGCAGCAGATCAGCATATTATACTGATTTCTGAAGATCATGTGACACTGAAGACTGGAGTAATGATGCTGAAAATACAGCTGCAGATCTACGAGCAGGTGCCCAAGCTGGACGCGGTCATCGTGCCTGCGGGTGGACACTGTGGGCTCCTGACCGGAACCGCAGCTGCCATCAAACACCTGAACCCTCGCATCTCTGTCATAGTGAGTCTGGTCTGAACCGGTCTTGGTTAAAGCTGAGCGAACACATGCATCTGAGCATCAGATCTGTGAATGTGTCAGGATAATTAATACACACTGCCGTTCAGAAGTTTGGGATCAGTAAGATTTGTAATGCTTTTATAGAAGTCTGTTCTGCTCATCAAGGCGATCAAAAACATGGAAAAAAACAGTAATATTCTGAAATATTTTTACAATTTAAAACATCTCTGTTAAACTGTAATGTATTTCTGTGATGTGCAGCTGTATTTTCAGCATCATTCCTCCAGTCTTCAGTGTCACATGATCTTCAGAAATCAGTATAATATGCTGATCTGCTGCTCGAGAAACATTTCTGATTATTATCAATGTTGAACACAGTCGTGCTGCACAATATTTCTGTGGAAACTGTGATACTGTTTTCAGTAAATTGTTAAGATTTTCAGCATTTATTTAAAATAGAAATCTTTTGTAACAATAGAAGTCTTTACCATCACTTTGTATCAGTTTAGCACATCCTTGCTGAAAATAATTATTGTATACTGTTAACATATAACAGTATACTGTTCGATCTGTACAGTAACGGCTGTGTTTAATGCAGGGCGTCGAACCGGAGGACTTTCCTCTTCTACTGCAGTCACTCAAAACAGACTCTCCCATTAAAGACCTCTACTGCAACCCCAACAAGAAACTCTACAGAGGTAACATCTCTCAAACTAACCCGCTGTGTCTCCTGTGAGCCGCTCTGATGCCTCTGTGCTGTGTTCGCTCACACAGATCTGGTGGATCACTCTCTGGGAACACACTGCTTCCAGCTGGCCAAGAAAACGGTGGACAAAGTCATCTCTGTCAGGTATCTTAAAGATCATCGGCTCCATTCAGTCCAGTATCTACAGTTTCAGGCTTCCTATAACGTTTGACATTCATGCATTTTGGCAGACGTGTTCATCCAAAGCATCTTACACTGCATTCAAGGTTTGCACTTGATCAGTTCATGCATTCTCAGGGAATCCAACCAAAGAAACTAAATTCTCGTGGAATCTGTTTAATACAAATAACATGCTCTATTCTGCCCCAAGAACAGTTCTGAGTGACGAAAACTGCTGAGATTCTTCAACCGTATCACACATTTGCTCTGTTCCAAAACCTGGATTTTAAAATTAGAGCGTTGCAGGATTCAACCGTAATACACTTAATGTGACAATGTGTTAAGACAACCAAATTCAGTGTACACCATAATTATGGTGCATACCATATACAACAAGCACATGAACACAAAATGCTTCACATGCAATTAAGCGTGCTTCTTACAAATGGGTTTCTATGGAAATGCTCACATTTAGTTCCAGGTGAATTTGACCTGCAACACATTTTTTAGTCGACGGACATACTGGTTAACAAAGGATGTTTTTCTTGAAATTGTGACTCTTTTCTGGGGTCATGAGCATGCCTGCGAAATTTCGACACTCTGAGGTTTTGTGTTAACCTCTGAGGGTTTTTACATTTATGCTTTTAGTGTCAATCTTTCATGTCGTGCATGTGAATCGAACCCACGATCTTGGCATTGCGAGCACCATGCTGTACTGTTTGAGCTTCAGGAAAGCTCACAAAAATAAATAAAAATAAATCTTTTTTTTTTTTTTAAATAAACATTTTAAATATTTTAATATTTTAAGTTCATAATTTAAAATGTTTCAAAAAGTTAATATATCAATTTTTTTGTTTTGATAAATGCTCTCATGCTCACCTTTTTTTGTAATGTGTGAAAAGTATTAATGTTGAAAATGTACTGTTTTTACCTGATTTTTTTTTTTTTTTTTTGGGGAACTGTACTGAATCCATTGACCCAGAAAATCAATCATACCTAGAATTTTAACATAATAAAAAGGAAGAATTGCGTTCATATTCTGGGCTCATCTGCTCGCCTATATGTGACCCTGGAGCACAAAACCAGTCATAAGGGTCAATTTTTTTTAAACTGAGATGTATGAATCACCTGAAAGCTGGATAAATAATCTTTCCATTGATGTATGGTTTGTTAGGATCGGACAATATTTGAAAATCTGGAATCTGAGGGAGCAAAAAAATCTAAATATTGAGAAAAATCATCTTTAAAGTTGTCCAAATGAAGTTCTTAGCAATGCATATTACTAATCAAAAATTAAGTTTTGATATATTTACGGTAGGAGATTTACTAAATATCTTCATGGAACATGATCTTTACTTAATATCCTAATGAGAAATGTATAATTGTGACCCATACAATGTATTGTTGGCTATTGCTACAAATATCCCCCAGCGACTTAACACTGCTTTTGTGCTGCAGTGTTATTGATATGTTTTCTCTCTCTGAAGGGAGGCGGATGCTCTGGTGGCCATGCTGCGCTTTCAGGAGTACGAGCGCTCGACCGTGGACACAGAAGGAGCCGTGGGCTTGGCTGCAATCTTAGCTGGTCACCTGCCAGAGCTTAAAGGGAAAAGGTGGTTAAAGCCCCTCACTCGCTTCATTATGATCCTAACCGGGTCAGTGTTACTCTTTCTGATGAGCCAGTTAGCAGAGGGTTGCATCATGTTCGTCACGGTAAACAGTTGAACTGAATCTCCTTCAGAAACACTGGCCTCTGAATGCATGAGCTGATTGTGAAATGCAGATCAACATTAATAATGCATTCAGTTCTATGCTGCTTGGCAAGTCTAAACAGCATATGCTAATGACCCATATTACTAGAATCAATCGTTTGTTTGAATTACTTAAACATTTACATTTATAATAAGGTCGCATTTGTTAACATGATTTAATGCATTAGCGTACTAACAATGAGCAATGTATTTTCACAGCATTTATTAATCTTTAATTGTAAAAATACAATTGTACATTGTCTAATTTCTGAACTTTTGATTTAAAAAATATTAGTAAATTTTAAAATTAACATCACATTTATGTAAATGTAATCATTTGCATCTATGCATTTGGCAGACACAAATACTTCAATATTTTTAATAACTGAAATTTAATATTTAAATATTTTTTATATTTAAATACTGTTTATAATATTACAATTATCACCTTACTTACCCAGCTGATTGATTACATAGATAATTGCAAAACATTTTTGTATTACAAATATGCAAATGAGGCAATATTTAATGACATATGTGCTAATTTGCATACATTTCTAGTACAAAAAAAATCAGTTTTAAAATTCTTGTTAAATTTTTTTTAGACATATTAGAGTCAAAAGTTTTTACAGAGGGAATTTTGGGGATCTCATTTTTGTCACTCCATAATTCAGAAAATGCTTAGAGCGGACAGAAAACACTACATTTTCAAAATATTTTGTGTGTTAAAATGTTGTATATAATCAAGCAACTTATATATGAACAAATCCCTCTGTAAAAACCTTCAGGATATAGACTATAGGAATAAAAATGTAAAGTTTGGTGTGTACTGAAGAGGAGATTCATGGCTCAGTGTAGGAGAAAACCGCCTTTAAAAGCATGTATTGTAATTGAAATCTATTGACACGAATAGATAAAGTGCTATAAAAGAAACACTTAACAGTGTCTTTTGGATGTTTCCTTTCCACTAGTCTGAAAAAACACTTTATGAAAAACCAAAAAGCCCAAAATCTCAAACTTGACAGGTGCACGAAAAAACAGTGGTATTTTTGGTAAATTGCATTGAATCCAATTAGGGACCCAGGACATAGCAATACGATAAAATCTCTCACATTTAAGAGATACTGATAAACCTTGAGTTTACATCCCAAAAAAAAAAAAAAAGCATAAATTCAATAAATGAATAAACAAATAAACGTTTAAATTTCCACAGAAAGATATGACATTAGAAGGTCAGCGAAGGTAAGTCCTGTGTAAAGTGTGTGTTGTGTGCTGCAGGGTGGCAGTGGTGGTGAGCAGTGCAAACATGGAGCTGGACCTGGTTCTGCAGTGTGTGGAGCGAGCTCTGGTTCTGGACGACAGAGTCAGTCGCTTCACGGTGCAGCTGGCCGACTGGCCCGGAGACATGGCCAAACTCCTGGATCTGCTGGCCAGAGAGGACGTCAGGTGAGCTTTCGTGCATCGTGCAGACGCTTCTATCCAAATGACTCGCATTGCATTCGAGCTGTGCATGTTATCAGTAAATGCATTCTCTGGGAATCGAAGCCATGACTTCTACGGCTTGAGCTCCTGCATGTAAACCTTGAATGCAGTGCAAGTGGCTTTGAATAAAAGCATCTGCTCGATGCACACTGGTGTCAAAAGTATTCACATTCATTACTCAGGTAGAAGTATAGATACTAGGGTTTAAAAAGACTTCTGTAGAAGTTGAAGTATCAACTCAAGCTTTTTACTCAACTAAAAGTGCAAAAGTACTGGTTTCAAAACTACTTAAAGTATAAAAGTAAAAGTAATGTAAGGAAAAAAATGCCATTAAGGACAAAAGCTTAGGCCGCGCCACAGGGGCCTATTGTGCACTACCCCACC